GATAGATTTAAGAAAGGGTTAAGGATTAGGTAAAATCCAAGGATAGGATCAGAATTTCTTTTACAACTATTATCTTTTCTCAGACAGTAACTTTGCATTTTGACTGCTATTTTGACTTTCAGGATGTTTTGGTTTTATTTTTAAAATACAATCTAATGAAAATCAGATGCTTAAAGGATGCAGCTTTCTATTTTGAGTTTATTGGAATTTTGACAAAACTAGATGTTTTCCTTCTGACTGCCAGGATAATACTGATGTTTGTATTTGTGTCATTTTTTACATATTTTGAACAATTACCTATTTGAAAATACTGTTCCTTTTTGCTGACAAATCCCACAAGAATCTCTTTTTATAATTTCAATATTCCTTCCCACAATATGTAAACTAAAAAGAACAAAAAGGTTTCCCTGTGAAGGAAACAATATAAAATTTTGATTATTGAAGTGATGATGTGTTAAAAAAAAAAAACCCTCACTTTGTCTTCTTACTGGCCTTTAATCTCTTTTCTCAAGATTCAGTAACATATGTGACTTTATTTCTTTGCAAACATAGTCTCTGACCACATGATTTTCTAATTTTCATTGTCGCATAGTCTGTAGAAATTCTATAGAATTCTACAGAAAACACAAAGGCAGGTGGAAATGGTTGTGCAAAAACATTAGGAAAGAGGATTACCAGCAAAGCCTGCACAAAGCTTCCTCTGGGATTCAAGGGCTCTCTCTATACATTGAATCTTTTCATTCCAAAGATTTGAACATACAACTAATTACATTAACAGATACTTCTACCTCATAGCAAGACTTTCTGAGGAAACCAACCCAATTCCTCTTTCGTGATTAAGATGCAAGCATTAATAGACAAAAGATAGTTACTCTCAAACCTCCCTTTTTTGTTTGAGTGTGATAGGCAATTTCTCTAGTGGTAAATTTGTATCAGGGCTCTGCTAGGTCTTTATCCTACCCTTCTGCACATTTGGAATTTTACTGTGTCCATGCTCCTAGCTCTCAAGTATTTCTGATTGTGTTCTCTCTTTGGTACACTGATCTAACTGCCTCCTATCCAATTAAGCTAACTTTGATTCACCACTTAATAAAGCCTATATTTCATCTTGAATGTCAAATGGTCTACCTAAAAACTGATTTTTATCAGACTCTTGCCTCTCAAAAGACAAAACAACAAAATAAATTGGTTTTCTTTTTTAAAAAACATTATTTATTTGAAAGGCAGAGTGAGAGAGAGGAGACACAGAAAGAGATCTTGTCCTCTGCTGATTTGCTCCACAAATGGCCACACTGGCTGGGGCTGGCCAGGTGAGAGCAGCAGGCTAGAACTCCATTGAGATCTCCCTTGTGGGTAGCAGGGGTCCAAGCATTTCAGGGGGCCAGCGTTGTGTCATAGTGGGTGGGGCTGCCTTCTGCTCACTGCTCCACTTCCAGTCCAGCTCTCTGCAACGGCCTGGGAAAGCAGTGGAGGATGGCCCAGGTTCTTGGGCCCCTGCGCCTGGGTGGGAGACCCCAGACTCGTTTGATATAAAAGCTTCCGTGATATTTTCAGATTCTGCATCATCAGTTATGTCTCACTTTATGGACTAGGACTCTGGGTTTTCTTCTGCTGTCACAGGTAACTGCCACACTCACTTCCAGCCATGGGCTTCATTTATTGATTGCTTTCCACATGCTAGTTACAGGCAGTGCATGGGTTCCACATTTAACCTTCAAAACTACCACCTGAAGTGAGCACTGTCATGGCAGTTTCACTAATGAGAATCCGAAGGGTAACTAGCTTGTCAAGGGCATGTTTTTAAGAAAATGGAGTTAGCATTCAAGCTCAGAAGTTCTGACCTCTGTGTTCTTAAGAACTAAATTCCCCGAGGCCAGCATTGTGGCACAGCAGGTTCAGCTGCTATTTGTCAGTTTGAATCCTGGCTACTCCACCTGCTAATGCACCTGGGAAAGCAGTGGAAGATGGCCCAAATACATGGGCGCCTGCCACCTATGTGAGCAACCTGGTTAGAGCTTCTGGCCTCTCTTGGCTTTTGCCCCGGCCCAGACCTGGCTGTTGTAGGCATCTGGAGAGTGAACCAGAAGACAGAAGATCTCTCTCTGTTCTCCCTCTATCACTCAGCCTTTCAAAACAAATGATCATTTTTAAAATTTAAATTCATCTTTATCATTCTATGAATGAGACACTTGAGGATTCTTTTTTTTTTTTTTTTAAGATTTATTTTATTGAGTTGAAAGGCAGAGTTACAGTGAGGCAGAGGCAAAGAGAGAGGTCTTCCATCTGCTGGTTTACTCCCCAAATGGCTGCAACGGCTGGATCTGAAGCCAGGAGCCAGGAGCTTCCTCTGGGCCTCCCGTGTGGGTGCCCAAGGTCTTGGGCTTTCTTCTACTGCTTTCCCAGGCCATAGCAGAGAGCTGGATCAGAAGTGGAGCAGCCGAGACCCAAACCGATGCCCACATGGGATGCCGGTACTGCATGCTGGGGCTCCACTTGCTATGCCATAGCACTGACTCCACTTGAGAACTCTTAGAGGAAAACATTTTCTGACACAGAGAAAGCTTTTTAAGAATGTATCAACTAAGGCCGGCGCCGTGGCTCAATGGGCTAATCCTCCGCCTTGCGGCGCCGGCACACCGGGTTCTAGTCCCGGTTGCCCCTCTTCCAGGCCAGCTCTCTGCTGTGGCCCGAGAGTGCAGTGGAGGATGGCCCAAGTGCTTGGGCCCTGCACCCATGGGAGACCAGGAGAAGCACCTGGCTCCTAGCTTCGGATCAGTGCGGTGCAGCGGCCATTGGAGGGTGAACCAACGGCAAAGGAAGACCTTTCTCTCTGTCTCTCTCTCTCTCACTGTCCACTCTGCCTGTTAAAAAAAAAAAAGAATGTATCAACTATACACACAAAAAACCTTTTAAAATTTAAAGAGCCAAGGGAAGGTTCACAGTAACACAAAAATGTGGAGAAATTTAGGTTAAATGTAGTGGAAATGTATGCTGGGGTGAGCCCTGAGTGGGCCTTGGAGGAAGGGTAGAGTTTCAGCATTTTCCATGCCAGGGAGACAGCTTGCGTCAACAACAGAAGGCCCAGTGGTGATTCCATGGCAAGAGAAAAGATCCTGGAGAGTTGAAGCACAAGATTAGATTGATGAGTCAGCACAAAAAGGAGACTATGGAAGCCTTAAATATTGAGAAAAGGAGTTTGAACTCACTTTCTTTGTCAATTCAAAGGTACGTGGCTTTTTGAGAATGGGAGAATATGTGTATAACATCAAATGTTAAAATCAGAAGAGACCAATGTCTGCAATGGGATACACTGAAACAACTGGTCTCCATGCTGTTCTTACTTGGGAAGCATTTCTTTATCCATTTTACCTAAGTAAATCCCAAACACCCATTAAAACCTTTTTAAGTCCTAACCAAGGCCTTTAACAAGCATGATAGATTTCTATTTCCTGAAGGTGTTGCTTTCATTCTCTTTGGTAATTTAAGTTGCTGTATACAGTTATCCCCACCCTCCCAATAGTTTGTTAGTGTTCAAACAGTAGGGGCCACGCTCATGTTGCGGATCTTCTTTTTTGGAGAGTATTGTTTATTGGTTGGTTTTTTTTTTTTTTTTTTTTTTAATTTAAGACAGCTCCTATCCACTCCCCAGATGCCTGCAACAGCTCGGGGGGAGAGGGGGTAAAGCCAGGATGGGGAACTCAATCCAGGTTTCTTTCCCACATGAGTGGCAGGGATACAACCACCCAAGCCATCACCAGGTCTGCTCTAGCAGGAAGCTGGAGCTGGAAGCAGAGGCGGGCAGCAAACTCATGTATTATGATAACAGGAGGAGGGCGTTTCAACCAAATGCCCTAAGAAGGAACACTTGCTTTAAAACAAGCAAACAAACTATAATAACCATAAACTGACAAATGCATGATCTTTACAACAAATGTCCCCATGTGGCAGCTGCTTGGTGTGTAGTCTATCTTCCTCGAGGACAGGGATGCAGAGTCAACTACAGTGCTTAATAAACACTGCATTTATTCATCAAATGAGATTCAGTGATTGAGACTGATTCTATTTAAGATTTATTTATTTGAGAGCCAGAATGATAGAGAGAAGTGGGAGGGGGAGAAACTTCCACTGGCTGGTTCACTCCCCAAATGGCTGCAAATACCAAGTCTGGGCCAGGGTAAAGCCAAGAGCCAAAAACCATCCAGATCTCCAAGAGGGTAGCAGAGACCCAACTACTTGAGCCATCATCAGCTGTCTCCCAGGTGCCTTAGCAGGAAGCTGGATTGGAAGTGGAACAGTCAGGACCCAAACCCAACTGGTCCCAAGCAGCAGCTTAACCCACTGGTCACAACATGGGCCCCTGATTCTCTTTATTGTTGAGTGGATTATATTAAGCAAAGTAAAATGCTTACTCGCCAAAACCCCAACGGTAATCACATTAAAGAGAGTGGAAGCGTGTCACGTTATGACCTACAGAATGAAACTATTAAAATGTGCAGTGAAATCCATGATGGATCTTATCTGGGTTTCGAACTTTGGACCAATCAATACCCATCAAGTGTGCTGTTTCTTCCTGGAGTAAATGAGGTAAGGTACAAGCTGGCAGACAAGTACGCTAGGTTTGTTTTTCCCTTCAACTAAATGAGAAGAAAATAATAATCCCCACAGGTACCCTTAGACTATCTGATGTTGTGTCAGAGGATCTAGAAAACACCAAGGAGGAGAGAACGGGAACAAAAAGGGCTGAGTAGGTCCGACCCAGGGCTTTCATTAACGTCCTCCTTCAATTCCCTTCACCTGGAGTCTCGCCCTCCGTCCAGCCCTGCCGCCACACCTGTCCAGCCGGTTAGTGCCGGCGGCGCCCACCGCGCGGCCTTTCTTCTGCCCACTCTGCCCCCAAGCTCTGGCAGTCTCCCCCGCCCCGCGAACCTCACCTGCCTCACGCGGCGCGGTGAACTGCCCTCTCCCTAAGTCCCCGGAGCCCGCCGGTCAGCGCTCGCCCGCCCACCCGGGCCCCGCCCCTGCCGGGGAGGGTCGGGGCGAGGGGAGGGCCTGCAGGTGAGGCGCGGTCGCCCTGGGCCTCGCACTTCCGCCCAGGTGAGGGAGGGCCGATGCCGAGCCCTCCCGCCCCAGGCTCCCACCCGCGCCTCCGCCGGACCAGGTAAAGCGTGGGGTCCCGACAGGCGGCCGCGCGGCGCGCCCCGAGTGTCCCCGCGCCGGTGGCCCCTAGACCGCCTTCCCTGCCCCGCGCGCGCTCGGCTCGCCAGGCTGGAGGCGGAGGGCGCCCCGGAGCTCGGAGGGGTCCAGCACCGGCTGGCTCGGGAGGCGAGGCGGGGACGCCGTCTTCTCGCGTCGGGCCCTGAGACCCCACAGTGGTCTTCGCCCCGGTGCGCGGGGGCCCGCCGGAGGCCGCCGGCAGGGGAGCCGCCCAGCCTCCGCAGGCCCTCGCGGCCTCCAATCTCGGCCCGCTGGTGCCCGGGAAGGGCACGGTTGAGGCTCGGCACTCAACTTGCGTGCCTCCGCTCCCCTACCCCCAGAGCTGGGCGGAGCGTGTCCTCCACCGGTGCCCCGGGCCGGCGTGAACAGGTGGCGGCCGCCTCAGCAGCCCGAGGAGGACGGGGTACTCAGCCCCGGGCTCCGGGGACGACTTGGTCGCAGCCTGGTGGGTCACATAGCTGAGGGTTCCCCGGGCCGCTCTTGCTTCGTAGCTGGCAGGACCTGGTGGAGAGTCCTCTGGGGACATGACTGGATTTGTGCACCAAGTCAAGCTCGGGAAAACATTTGCAGACCCTTTCCACCCTGCCGGCCGCCGGCGGGCCGAATCAGCCTCCCGCTGGGGTGTTCTCTGGGCACTGTGTCCGGCCTCCGGACGGACGGAGACCTGGATTCCTGGTTTACCGGTTTGAGTCTGCCGGTGACAGGGCGCTCCTGCCGGGGCCTGATTTCCCTAGGTTGCTTCCTGATATCATTTACGGTCTTGCCTTGGGCAGGCGCGCCGCAAATGTTGCTTAGATGGACGAACCGGCCTTTTAGAGACCTCTACGGAACGCGTCAGTTCCACCAAGCTGGACGGTCCACATTCTAGACCGGCTGAACGCCTATTGGCTGCAGATTCATTGACACATGTGTTCCAGAGGGCAGCGGGGGAGGCCTGGGAGCGAGAAACTCCGGGCTGCTTAGCTGCGTTAGAAAGTGTTAGGTGACGTCGTGACTTTTAGCTAAAATGATCTTGGATGCTTGTAGGGCCCTGGCAGGCTTTAGAAGGATCATTTAACATTTTATGTAATTAGAAACTTAATATGGAAGCGGAAGGTACCAGCGGGTAGAATTTCTGAAATGAGTTCTGAAGAGATTTGTCCTTACTGGTTTAGATCCTGTTAGTGGTCACATAAAATGGGTCTGCCATCAGAAAAATAGGTTTGTTTCAAGTTGAGAAGAAATCGTATTACACCTTTGTCTGTTTAACGATGCCTTGATAAGTCCAAGTCATGTATTAATATTTTATAACCATAAAGCTAATAGTAATTGTAAAAAATTGGAGAGAATTTAAAAAATAGAAATGCATCCACCTGTTATTTGAGCGATAACCACTAACGTTTTCCTTCAATTTAACTTTTTAAAAAAGTTAGGAAAATCTGTGTATTTTCATATAGTGAATTCACTTTTAGAACCTTGTGATTCTGAGACAATGGCTCAAGATTTCTTGATCCTTACTGTTGTATTTTTTTTACTTGCAGCATTTAATAATTATTCATACGTTGAACTGCCAAGTGGTCTGAAGTAAATAACTTGCTTTGTTAAAGCTGAACAAAAATTCATTAGGTTGGGGGAACCACAGAGGGATTTCTTTTGTTTATTTAAGACTTTGCTCATGCTAGTGGTGGAGTAAGTTTTTTTTTTTTAATTTTAAAAGCAGAACTATTGTACCTCCACATTAGAAAATGCATAATATATAGAAATGTTTTCTCATTTGGGTTTCTGTGTAGATGCAGTGCTGTTTTTTTTTTTTTTAAGCCTCCATCAGGTGTTCTAATGCAAATGGAGAGAAATTTAGTGACTGCCAATACTTTTGCTTTTAATCTGTGGGATAGATTGAAAGTGGATGTGTGTGTGTGTGTGTGTGTGTATGTTTATACAACTGTGCAGCCTGTTCAGTTTGGAAACGTGGAATTGGGTGTATTTACTGTATAACTTTTGTCAAGTCATTTGAGTCTGGTCCTCTGTTTTCTCACTTGTAAATGATCTGCCTCACCGAGATTTGGAGATGTTGGAAACAGTGCTTTGCAATCTGAATGCTGTTATTCCCCCACTCTTTGCTCTACTCTGCTGTTTAATTCTGATAAGATTGTGGAGGTCTGTTTTTTTTTTTTTTCACTGCAAAGAATTCTAGTTTGTGTTTTCACTCTGATAGTTACTTTTTTTTTTTTTTTTTTTTTAAGATTTATTTATTTGAAAGTCAGAGATACACAGAGAAAAGGAGAGGCAGTGAGAGAGGTCCCATCTGCTGGTTCACTCCCCAATTGGCCGTATCCACCAGAGCTGCACCAATCTCAAGTGAGGGGCCAGGAGCTTCTTCTTTGTCTCCTACGAAGTTATAGGGGCCCAGAGCCTTGAGACATCTTCTGCAGGACGGCTTTACCTGCTATGCCACAGTGCCGGCCCCATCTGATAGTTACTTTGATAAAAGATAGAGACTCAACTGGTAAAGAAGATCACTGAAAACACTAAACAGGGATCTTTCTGAAAACTTTTCTGTCATACATATGTGACCATTAGGTAGGGCTAGTTGGGATTCAGATATGCTGAAAATGTGAAATATATACCAGATTTTGAAGAGTTAACCTAGGGGCCAGCACTGTGTCACCAGTACCTGGTACTCTGCTTCCAATACAGCTCTCTGCTATGGCCTGGGAAAGCAGTAGAAGGTGGCCCAACTCCCTGGTCCCCTACACCCATGTGGGAGACCAGAAGAAGCTCTTGGCTCCTGGCTTTGGATCTGCCCAGCTCCAGCCAGTGTGACCATTTGGGGAGTGAACAAGCAGATGGAAGACCTCTCTCTCTCTGCCTCTGCCTCTGCCTCTGCCACTCTGCCTTTCAAATACATAAATAAATTTTTTTAAAGAAGGAATTAATATGTAAAAAATTTCAAAACATCTCAGTTTTTAACTTATTTGTACATTGAAATGATAGTTTGTATTTACTGGATTAAATAAAATACATTGTAAGTGGAACATCCATAATCAAAAATCTGGAATGCTCCACAATCCAAAACCTTTTAAGTACTGACATGATACTGCAAGTGGAAAATTCCATTTCTGAGTTGCTGTCAAAATGTAGGCACACTAAAAATATGGTATAAAATTACATTCAAGCTATGTGTAAAAAGTGTATATGAAATATAAATTTAATATTTGGATTTGGGTCTAAATACTAAATACATCTCTGAAGTATCTCGTTAAGTATATGAAAATATTCCAAAATCTGAACAAAATTCAAAATCTGAAACACTTCTAGTCTTCGGCATTTCAGATGTTCAACCTATATTAAAATATTTTACCAGTTTATTTTTGCCTTTTTTTTTAAATGAGGCTATTGGAAAATTTAAAACTATGCATGTGGTTTAAATGTTTCTGTTGGATGGCTCTGGAATATGATTCAGTTTGAATTTGTTCTTTTTAAAATTTATTTGAAAGAGTTGGAGAGCTGGGCAGAGATCTTCAATCCACTAGTTTACTTCCCACATGGTTGTACTGGCCATGGCTGGGCCAGGCCTGAACCAGGAGTTGGGAACTCTCTCTGTATCTCCCAAGCACTAAGGCCACTTTCAGCTGCTTTCCTGGGTACATTAGCAGGGAGCTGGATCTGAAGTGGATCAGCAGAGACTTGAATTGGTGCTCATATGGGATGCTGCTGTTGTAGGCAATGGTTTAACTAGCTGTGCCACAATGCCAGCCTGAGTGTATTTATTCTAAAGAGGGTTTAGTTTGCTAAAGCACTTGCACTCTAGCTTTGTTGTTGTTATTTTGCAAAATTTATTTATTTGAAAGACACAGTTACAGAGAGAGAGAGAGGTCTTCCATCTGCTGGTTCACTCCTCAGATGGCTGCAATGGCCAGAGTTGGGCATATCAGAAGCCAGGAGTTTCTTTTAGGTCTTCCACATGGGTGCAGGGGTCCAAGCACTTGGGCCATCTTCCACTGCTTTCCCAGGCCATAGCAAAGAGCTGGGTCAGAAGAGGAACAGCCGGGACTAGACCTGGCACCCATATGGGATGCTGGCGCCTCAGGCAGAGGCTTAGCCCACTAGGCCTCAGTGCCAGTCCCAAGGACATAGAGCTGGAACTGGGGATAGAACCCAGTTCTCTATCATTTCAAAGATCCTAGGCTATAGCATCTCTCATATTTCAAGAATTGGGTATTGAGATGTTATTGAAGAGTATCAATGCCCATGTCACCAGTGGGGCTCGCTACATGATCAGAGTGCCATAAGTGTGCAAATTGCCCAGATTTGTTTATATGTTGCTCAGTGAAGAAAATTGCTACCTATGAATACAGAAGCATATCATAGAGTAGTTTAACCTTGTTCATACAAAAATGTCTAGTTACAAGATTATTGATATGCATTGGTTAACTTTGACTAGTTCAATGAGAATATTAATATTTTGCTCACTGAGTCTGGAAAATTGACTCAGTTTTGAGTTCTGATTCTGAGTTCGACATAGTATCTTTAAACATTGATTTCAGTATTTTCTGGATGGTCAGTGTCAGGTAGACTTAAGTATCACCTATTTCTTTGGCATATAGCCCGAAAATGTTAGGATTGTTGTGGAATTTATATGTATGTTTCTCAAATTCCAGAGATACAGTGATGTAGTTAAAAATAGTTTATACCTGAGAGCTTTAGAAAAGCTTTGGTTACTTGGTAGGCAAATGTATTGGTGTGCCAAGTGGAGAGCCAGCATTGTTCTTTGGCTGGGAGAGTTTTTTATTTAATCAGTACTTAGTAACTGCTGAGCTCTGAGGACAAAAGAATTAGAAACATTCTGAGCTTTACAATGCAAAAGAAGCAGTGGAAGCTTAGACGTCAATGTTTGAATAGCTTCTGAAATCAGGACTTTATTTACACTTAATAGCTCCTTGAGTCTTCAAATTCACTGGTTCT